GGATTGCAAAAGATCACACTGGCTCAGTTTCTTGTTCATGCAACAGATGCTCTCACCCATGCGAGAAACCTTAGCATGGGAGAACTAATTAGAAGCACTATAATGGTGATCTTTTGTTTAGTGAAACCTCGGTCTGTGACCTTAGGTAGAGAAAACTAAAAACAAAAACAAATGAACTTTATTAAAAGTTCCAGTCAATGCGAGTGTTATTCACAGTTAACACGCTACGACCGAAATTAGAGAATATAAATTAATTTTTCCATCACAATTCGATTTAAAACGTAAGGTATTTTCATTCTAATTTTTAAAGGTATTCATTGGCTACGCAAATGGTACCAGTTCAATACCATTGACCCAAATATTAAGCAGTTATATTATAGTATAATGTATTTGTTCCGATTTGCCATAATGATTATTTAACCGTTTTTACTTATGTCGTCAAAGTCAAACGAAGTTGAGATTTTGTTGATCATTTGGTAGAACTATGATTTCTTATTAGAAATATTTTGCCATGGGGCTTTGAGACTTTGCAAAAGCATTTATACTTAACATTTAACTAGGTGACTGGCCCGCACCTTGTGCGGGTATGAAAATATATTGTGATATTGGTTGAAGTGGATTTTGATGGAAACAAACTTTCAATAGTGAATTCATTGATTTACATGTATTGCAAGGGCAAGAAAATTGATACTGACATATACCATACATCTTTAATGTGGGAGAAAATGGGATGAGTGGTTGTTTCAGTGCTGAGATATGGTCTGTTCAAAGCTTATGGTTGTTGTTTTTGGTTCTATTATATTTCTATGTATTTAGTTTTTCTTTGTTTGTCACGGTACATGTATTTTTGTTACTATAAATGTTTAACTAATGATTTTATGTGTGTTTTTAAACATTATAATAAATTAAGTAAGGAAGATCAATAAAAATGATCAGTTCTATAATTGTTAAGGTCAAATATGGAAAATATAATGTAAACTAAAAGTAAGAAAAAAAATATTTAAGAAAATTAAATGTATTTTGTGTAGTATAATAAACCTTTAAAATATACGATAGTAAAATTTTAACTAATTTTATACAAATAAAACATTTTGTTATGATTTACTATTGGATCTCAGATTAATATTAAATATATATTCCTAAAATAACGACATTTCATTATTTAAAACCTTAAATATTTTTTTATATATATAATTAGCTAATCAGGTTTAATTAAAATGTATATTTTAAAGTAATTTAAAATAAATGAAAATAATACTTTTAAAAGATATCAAAAGTATGTTTAGTTTATATAAAAAAAAGTTTGGTCTTATGAATTAATGTTTGATAAAATAAAGTGATGATGGGAGGTAATTTTAACAAAGAATTTTTTTTGCTTAACCCATCAGAGTTTCATGATAAACACTAAATAAAAAATAAGTGAAAAAGTGTTATTTACGATTTGATAAAATTATGAGAAAAATTGCTTAAGTTACCATTTTCTTAATACATGTTTTTATGTTTACCTTTACTAAATGTATTCTTAGTTTTAAAGAGACAATTCTACTATATATTTATTGAGAAATCACTTAAATGATTTTTTCTTATGTGTTGTTAATAGGTTAAGTTTTTAAAATAGTTCTAATTTGATTGATTATTAACTTTTAGTAGTTATTTATATTAATCAGATCTAAAAATAAAAAGTAACTATAGAACTAATTCATACAAATTGCCAAATAATACAAGTGATATTATAAATATTAGTTTAAGGTAACTAACTGTAGAATTAGAGAATTTTTTTTATGTTTTATCAATTTCTTTATTTTTATCAATTATTTATATATAATTAAATAAGATAGTTTAACATATTTATAGAAATAAATTTAATGATTATATATTGTAAATAAAAGAATTAGATTTGTAGGCAAGGAGTTATTAGAACTTTTTTATGTTTTTTAAAGCTCACACAAAAACGTTCTTGAAAGCTAAAGTATTTCCGTTTTTTCACGTGTTAAAATAAAATATAAAATATAAAATAATTCTATAAGCAATTATCTTAATTAATTATAAAATTGTTTTTCTGTAAAAGAAATATTTTAGTGACTAAATTTTATGTTGTTGAACTATTTTAAATCTCATAGATCTTCGAAAAGTATATACTGAAAATTTTAATTATTTGTGTAACTATTTGAAATTAAAACTAAAATTAAAATTTTCATATTTCTAATTATTGTTCAAAATTATAATAGTGTAAACATAATATGTATTTTTCATATAATATAACTACCCACAAAATTGTGGGCAAACCTCTGAACAAATTTTTTTTCACAAACCATGGATCTTTATCTTCAAACCCAGCTCCTCAAAACACTGCTCTACGTTTTTTTGAGTTCTAGGACTAAACTCAAGAAACATACACTTGACCTCTTTCGCTAGCGCAATCCCTTCTTCTCTGCTAACTTCTCTCTCAGATTCATGTAATCATAATATGTGTTTCATCAAAGACAACCAGCGAATAAACAAACCATTTTAAGTTTTGTAATTTATATTGCAACTTACTCTATCGACTTTGTTCCCAAAAAGCATCGTAACGCAATCTTGATTAGTGGAATAAAGCTCAATCTCCTTACTCCACACATCTACTAAGTTGGTAAATGTCTCTCTTCTCGTCACATCATAAACTACAATCACCAAGAACATTAACTAAATAATTCATAGACAGGACTATCTCTTTAGTTTTCTGTAACTGAATGATAAGATGTGACATTACCAAGAATGATTCCTTGGGCACCTCTGTAGTAAGAGCTAGTCAGTGTTCTAAACCGTTCTTGTCCAGCTACAAGAAGAAAACTGACAATGTTACATTAGTTCCCTTATGAAATAACATAAATAAACTTGTATAATCTTAAGTGCAGAATCACCCACCTGTGTCCCAGATTGTGAGTTTCAGTCTTTTGTCTCCTACTGTCAATTGTTTCATCTTGAAATCAACACCTAATTAGGTTAATATCAACAAAGTTACACAAACAGGATCTGACAAAACAGAACTCTACAGATTAAACCAAACTAAAAGATTCTTGCCATCATCATACTCCCTCAATGAATCAATAAACAGCTCATTACAATCCTCAATCTACAACAAAAAACCACACAAGAACTAATGTTTTAGTGTCTGGTTTGAATAAGTTTTGTGAACACAAAGGAACTTACTTACTCATAGAAGAATTTTAAGTATGTGTTTCTCCCACATCTCACCAATCTCAACACCTCTTTTAACATCTTTAGAGCCATTGAAAAACTCATCGTAGGTCCCATTCAACAGAGATCTAAGTAAGATAAGAGTCTCGTCCATGTCCCATATGTATCCATTCACTGGAACATCATTATACACTAAAGCTTCGAGATTTTGTGATGTTGTAGCATTCATAGTGTGCCCTTGTCCCTGAAATTACTTATTGATCAAGTAATATAAAGATTGAAGAGATGCAAACAAAGTTCTGAATCAATTGAGAAAGTAAAAAAATTTAAGTTAAGTTGTTTAACAAAAATCCTAGCTTTCAGATCGAAATAGGGATAACATAGAGTTTTTAATACAATACATGCCGCTGATAGGATGAGCAAGATCAAGCTCCAGAGCTAAGTGACAAAGGGAAGCAGTGAGTGAGCAGCTAATGAGCGAGCGGTTGTGCTATGTATTCTCCCCAAATCCAATTAAATCCAAAAACCCTAATCCCCAAATCCAATTAAACGATCTCAAGTCAAAACCGTGCGATCTCAAAAACATACAAAAACCCTAATCCCCAAATCATAAATCAAAACAGCATGAGTGTATACACAAGGGCGAGGAAAGGATCTTGCGTTGAGATATTGAAGCTGTACCAAGCCAGTTTGATCTTGCAAATCACCGGCGACTTTAGATATCTCAGAAAAAAGAGATCGAAGAAAGAGTATGGAAGAAGAGATCGACGACAAAATACATTTAATGTATTGTGGTTTTAAAAAAATAATAATAATAAAAAAATCGACCAATAAGATTATAAGATTTTTTTCAAGAATGTGTGTATGATTGCCACGTCATGAGAAATCACTAAAGTGACTTCTCATTTAATATATAGGGGGATATACGTTAGCTTTATTTTGAAAACTTAATTTAAGAAATTTTTAATATTCAAATCATAGGTCCCGTTATATATATATATATATGCTAATTTTTAAATTGTATGAAAATTCCAGTCACCATTTTCGTAGAACGGAGGGAATATAGATTCACCCAAATTCTTATTTGCGTATAGATAGATTCACACAAATGTAATCGTCATTAAACTCGAGTAATAGTAATATAGTATGATAGTCGTATATAAATTCTTCATGTTCGTCAGTAAAACTGCTGTCCCAAGCCATGCATTGCTATTAGTACTAGCCACAATAAGCGCGATCCACAACTGCGATTCCCAGTGAACAGAAAGATCATCTCTTTATTGCTTGCATGACAGCATCAAAAGAAAGAGATTCTTGAATTTCTTGTGTGTTTAAGTTTCCCAGTTCCAAGCTATTCACAATAAGAAATTCAAGATTCTCAGAGAGAAAATGGTAAAGACTTTGACTCACCAACCAAAAGAGAAGACCAGGTACAAAAGACGTAGTATACAATACAACCTAAAATATTCAGTAATACATCATAATATAATTGAAAAATGTCAGTAGTACAGCATACAAGCTTTGTGGCTACTAGATAAAAGCTCCCAATCATATTGAGGTAAAAAACAAACTAATACTATACAACAAAAAGTGGGTTAAAAAAGCCTTTGTGTGTTGGTTGGGGCCTTTTACAAATTTTTGACATGAAAACAGTAACAAGTAAGAATCATAGTGATATAAAAGAGTTTTGATAAACAGTGATAATCACAGAATACAATTACGGACATGATGAGAGATGCATATCAGATCAAGAAGCTGCAACAAATTTCTCCCAAGTACCGTATTTTGAGCTGAAAGTTCCACCTCCAAATTGCTGTGCGTACTCACAGATCACAGTCCGAGCGCATGCGTCCCATGTCTTGGCTATGTCTTTGAGCGACATCGGCTGTGACAAACTTCTTAGCAAGATGTTGAACCTTGCCATAGCCTTGGACGACAGGTCCTCGTTCTCTTCTTATGTTCAAGAAACCAGACCATGTTGTTAAATTAAGGTAAGAAAGATGATCCAGTTTCTTATAGATGGTTTCTAAAGACATGAGCCAGATATTTTGCTTGTACCTGGTTTCCATTTTATCCAGGAGAGATGGAGAGCCGTTGGGGTAGCTACAAGGTACCAGCAGACGCAATGGTTGAATAGGACACTGTAACAGAGGCACAAAACATTTTCGTTAAATAAATAAATGAAATGATTTCCAATCTTAATGAAATGACCATGCTTACTATTTGGGTAGATGAGAGATGAGCCTTCAAGTCTGGGCTGAGAGAAACCGCTTTAAACGAGAGTCTTACTGTTGTTCCTTCACACCCTTTGCTTGCTGTTCCTTCCTCACTAGTATCATCAGCATCTTCATCATCACTAATCTCAACAACTGTATCTATCAGCCGCTGGTTTATTTCCTTGATTTCCTCCAAAAGGGCGTGCTCCGTCTGCATTTCAAGATTGTGTCCTCAATATATCAAAACATGTAAACCTTGTTGTGTATCAAATTTCATTCATATATACCTAAGGGAAGTATAACTGAAACCCATACCTCTGTTCTTGCCTTCTTGCCAACAGAAGTCGCAGTAGATTCCAAATCTGATGTTTCTGAACATGCAAACTGCTTGTAATTATCACCAACACTTCCTCCTAATGAAGAAACGCTTAACGGCATTGCAGTTGTGTGACGTTTCATTTTCTTGCTCGCCGTCATTCCCTCTTGCGTCATGAAGTTTCTTGCTTGGAGACGATACTGTCAACCATGGTTACAACAGATCTAATGTCACTTACTCCAGAAGAAAGTGATTGTGGTGAGATGGACTTAACCTGAAAACGACAGAAAGTATGCATCATGATCAGAACAATGTTTCTGCTACAAGATATGTATCTTAGTAATGTTACTTACGACTCTAATAAGGCGTTCAATAGGAAGCTCAGCCGCACTTGGACTTAAATTATTTCCATCAAGACTGGTAAACTCCTGAAGGAGAGGAGATGCAGAGATCCCTGGAGTGCCAATTGCAATGGATTGAACTACACTTTGCATGCCAGTAGCTTGTTGGCGTGCAGTATTTCCCATTGACAACGAAGAAACTCCAGATGGTTTCTCAGAGTCAACTTGCATAGGAGACGGTGCCAGGGGAGTTGAAGGAGATGGGACAACGAAAGGAGAGTTTGCAGGTTGCAATGGAGTTCCCATCTTGTTGACAGATGACATCAAAATTTTCTGGTCGACCTGAGGAGACGAATGTTGTTGTGTCATCTGAGGAGATGCACCTGGGAGAAGTTCAGGCGACGCAACAGGAAGCTGAGATCCTTGTTTTAACTGTTGATGGGGATAAGTAGCACGCTGGAACCAACGTTGGGTCGACGGTTTCATAGCTTTGTTACTTCAGTCACGGGGGAGTTTGCGGCCATCCTCTTTGCCCTTAACACATGATGGATTGGCTCGTCACCTTTATTTTCCAACCTTGTTGCTGTCAGAAGCAGATGCTTGGTCACTTTCCCCTTCAATTCATTGGTGAGGCCATATTTGCCATATATTTGTTAGTATACTTTTCAACATCTGTGTGAATAATTTTGTAAGGAACCAAGAACAATAAGACGATTTTGGGCAATTAAAATTGCATTTTTTTGCTTTTTATTTTTATTTTAAAGAAAAATGATGACAAGTTAATAACAAAGGACTGAGTGTGTTAACAAACAAAAACAGAGGGGGCAAATTCAGAAATGGTTCCTTATAAAAAAAAAAGACCAATTCTGACCTATGTTGACTTTTTAACTGAAATGAAAAAATTAAAAAAAAAAAAAAGAAGAAAAACCAAGTACACAAAACTATTTTTGTACTATGGCTAGAATCGTGGAACTATGGGTAAGATGGTTTTGCAACTGCTGGGTTTAGCTCCATAATCAAGTACACAAACTTCCACACCAAATCGGAGTTCATACACGTCATGCAGGAACGTTTCCATCTCAGGCTTGTGATAGTCCTGACCAGATTTCATGGCCTCCACTGATCGAAGAAACACCTTCTTGGATCTGGGGCGAATATGTGCCAATGAAATGATTTTTTACCTTTCTCTATCATGCCTAAGGACATGTTCAGAACGCCAAAAAGTAAAGTTGCTTCTGTATGATCAGAATGAACGCGATTTCAAGGTAGTGGAGGCCTAAGAACTTGTTTTTATCCTGAAGGTATGAAAGCAAACCTCTTAGTGTGCATCCATGTTGTTGGCCGCTGAACATTTTCCGAGCAGTCCATTGTATTTCTTAGCTAGATGTGGCTTCTTGACAATTGGTGAGAGGCTCAGATCCTTAGAGACAAGCGGTACCTTAGACGTCAAGTTAAGAGACATTAGTGATTGTAAAGACAAAAATAGTTTCCAATCATCATATATAATTATCTGTTATTATCAAAACTTCTCACTTTATAACACCAGTGACGTTGTCATTAACACAGCGATTTCAACAGAGAGAAGTGCCTGATTTCTCTAGCTTTTTGCTGCATCTGGGGCATAAGACAAAAGAGCAGCCATGTCTTTTAGAGCAGGCAAAGAGGACCAAGAAGTGACTATGGGAGAAGGAGAGGTTCTTTCCATGACACCCTTGACCAATAGATCAGTAATGTTTTGAAAGATATAAAATCTCATAAACCATATTACTATTTTGTTAGCTTTGAAATTACTTGGATGTCGTCCAACTTGACGTTTCTTCGCTAGAGATTGCAAACACCTCCTTGAGCTGCTTGGATGTTCTTTTCAGCTCAACTACTTGATACTGGAACTTGTAAGAATGGTGTGTGTAACAGCCTAAGCCAGCATCTGCAATAAGATTTTGATGGAAGTGTAATCCGTGAGCTATCACTTAGATAAAAGATTGACAGCAGAAATCTCAGAAAATCAATAAACAAAAGAATCATGCTACAAAGAGTCTTGTAACATCAGACCTGATTAATAAAAATGCTCAATTTGATGAAGTAGCTCATTTATCTGAAAGAAATCATCACATGTGAGTAAGCAAATCAAGTGGTTCAGGTTAGGAACCAGGGAAAGAACATGGTATGATAGGGTTTATTGTCAAGCCAAACTCATTGGTTCTGGGTAATGAGCATCCATTGTTCCGTGTTGTCGGATTCCAGAAACTCAAATCTGTCTCTTTAGCTTCCGGCGTTAGAGCGGACATTAACTTGGCCAGGAAGAAGTAAGCAAAACTTAGGTACACAGTTATCATAAGAAAATATATTGGAATTCTCGTAGGATTAAAAGACAAAGTGATTACCAGATTAGCTCAAACTTCTTTCTTGTGCTTTTGAAGGTCCACGTCTCTCTGCTAAAATTAGTCAAGTCTTGATCCAGCTCATCATCACTCTGTATTTAGTCTTAAAACTAAGTAAAGGTCCAAACTGTGAGGACCAAACTGGTTGAAAAACATTCCAAATGATTATTCTTTGGTCAAGCACGCAGGATTAATGTGCGAAAAAGCAATAGATCTTTATCTATTCCGAGAGCCAACAATAACTGAATTTAAAAGTGACTGAAAAAAGTTTCAAATCAGAGAGCTTTGAAAAACTAAAAGAAAGAAAATTTACATGTTAAAGCACTATGCAACGAAGCTCTGTGACATAGAACTGATTAGAAGAGGAGCGTTGAAGGCCAACTCAAAGAGAATCCATCGCCAGCGGAGGGATATAATCGATGACTGTCTCTATTTATGTCTGGACGGGGGAGAGAACGATCTGCTTGATATAAGCCTGACGTGAAGAAAACAGAGAAGTCGATAGCTTTTTTGGATTAAATGAAAATAACATTTACTGTGGAGATTAAGAGTAATACGTTGAACAATCGAGGAGGTTAAAAGTTCATAGAAGAATTCATTGTCTTTGCACTCAATAGCGGATATGGAGAAACTAAGAGACCTACGAAAACGACAGTGGAACCCCAATCTAATTCACAAAACGCAGAGTTTACTAACTAAAGTCACCTTGATAACCAGATGAACCAAAAATTTAAACCGAGATGAACAACCGAAATCAAAACAGAAGAACAGAAGAAAGATCAAACCAATCCGAACGTTAGCCCCACAATCATTAAAAGAAAGCATACATGGATGCCTTAAGAAAGAGGCAAAAGGGCCTCGTTATATATATGATTACTGAAGAGGGATTATAGAAAACAAACCTTTGACTTATGTTTCTTGGATTCTTGTAAATAATAGGTATCATAGAAACATCTGGATCTGATCATAAATATGTAAACAGAATTTAATTCTTTATATCCAAATAATCGAATTCAAATTTGAAACAAACCAAAAAAATCAAGGAGCCAAAAATATTTTAAAAATACTTAAAATATTAGTTATATTAATATTTATGATAATCTAAATACTTAAAATTGCAATTATTAAATTTAAATATTATAATACTTAAAATATTAGTGCTTTTCTTCAAAACAATAAAAAAATCTACACAAGATAGTGAGCTTATTTTAGGCCTATTATTACATGAACCAAAATGTAAAATAAACAAAATTTAATTAGTATTAGATTGATATTCTCGTATATAAATGTATCTTTATATGTTTTAATTGTAATAAAATACGGTTTCTTTTTTATAGTAGTTTACATAAAGAAAAATTTACATCACAAAACACATTCTCATTCCAATTATAATTTAAGACACATTATACATGGAACATATTTTTTCATTGTCAAATGTCCATCATGCCCTATAACTATGTATTACTTTCTAGTTACATTTTTACTGTTTTTAGATTAACAAAATAGATAGTATGTATCATTGTTTTCAACGACGATAGCTCCACCATTTTGCTAATACGCATTTCTATCGAACACTTTATTAGGTTTATGAAGCCCGTATCCAAGTCTTTATTGTTTAATTAGTATAATATTTTTTCACTTTGTACTTAATAAACAATTCTGTATAGATTTACTTTTGGTTTTCTTCATAAAATACCTCATATTAATTAGAGTTGAATTTCTCTATATATATTAGATATTTCTTGTCTAAAATTCCAAATATGAGACTTTGTCTCACATTATTCCCTTCAAACTAAGGACCATACTCATCTCGGATTTTTCCTTCAGAGATCATTTTAGCATCACCTTGTACTAGTAATCTTAGAGTTTCCTTTAAAAATGTTTCTCTCACAACATCATAAATTCAAGGATCTTCTGACTAGTTTTGCCACAGACTTCTTTTTCCAACTTGAAGGATCCTTTCCAACTCAAAAGGTATTTTGGTATTTTTGTAAATCTTCGTCAAACCGCTCTGATACCAATTGTTGAGATTGTGAGAACTCATGTCTAACTCTTCGTTTTCCAATTTGTACGATATTGTTCATTTTGGGCGTAATAAGCAAGTCCGTATCGATTTACTTTTAAAATCCTTAGCAAAAGGCTTCAAGCTAATTTAAGTTGAAATCTCTTTATATATTTGACACTCCTTATCTAAACTTTCAATGTGGGACGTTGTTAATATCTCACACACTTTACCCTCAGCCATTAACCATTATCATGTGCATCTCCTCCACTATTTTCTCTCCTTATTTTTTTGATGCTATTTGAAACTACCGCTTCAAAAGCCATCTTTTTTTTGTGAGATCTAATCCTTGTCTGATCATGATTACTTGTTGGCATCACCAGTGCGGGACCAACCGTATCTGCCGCTAACTCTCCTCCGCAAGGACCGCATCCAGTACCTTCCTTAGCTCAAGACGATGTGAAGATTTCCTCAATCTTGGCGATGTCCAATAGCTCTAGGTGGTTACCTACGCAGTGTTGGTCTCTGGAGGAGATGATATCGCTCATTAACGGTTATGGTGATGGGTGATAATCTCATATGCTCTTAATGAGGCAAAACATATTCTGGTATACTCTTACGAATTCTGACGTACTCCTCATTTATCTCATAATCTTCCAAAACGTGGCCAATGTCCCTTTTTTGCTAAACCAATCATTCTCTCTCCTACTATACCTTCTTCATTTCTCTCTCCACTGTAGATCTCAAACCTAGATTTTATTCAAGCTCCATTCAGTTTAGCATTCATATTCTCTATTAATTCATTCGGGAAAAATTAGAAATTTTCATTTCAAATTTGTGTTCATAATTAACTAGTTGAGAACAATGGGTCTCGGTCTATTTGGATAATCAAAAATATTGGTATAATTATAAAAATCATATCAGATTATTCTTTTTATTTAAAAAAACTAGAAAACGTAATAAAACTTGGTATGAAAAAAATGGTATAAATATGTATAATTATGTATAATTATAGCTGTACAATTTGCAACTTGGTAAAACTATACTGTACAACTAAGTGAAACTGTGTAACTAGGTAAAATGGTACTAACTAAACTGTATAA